GGTAGGCCCCCCTTGTCACTTAAGGGTATAAAAAAATAGATAACAACCTATTTTCAGACCTACTGAATATACATATAAAATTTCATCAAAATCGGTCAAGCCGTTACGGAGAAGTACGTAACAAAAAATTAAAAAAAACCCTATTTGAAAGTGAAAATTTAGTGTTGTATGTATTTTTTAATGCCACATCGTAACAAAAAACAAAAATTAAAAATTTTGTCCAAAAAAATAAAAAGAATTGGGGTGGGCCCCCCTTTGTCACTTAAGGGTATAAAAAATAGATAACAACCTATTCTCAGACCTACTGAATATACATATTAAATTTCATCAAAATCGGTCAAGCCGTCCGGATATTCGGGAGAAGTATGGTAACAAAAAATTAAAAAAAAAACAACCCCTATTTGAATGTGAAAATTTAGTGTTAAATGTATTTTTTAATGCCACATCGTAAAAAAACTAAAATTAAATATTTTGTCCAAAAAATAAAAAAAATTGGGGTGGGCCCCCCCTTGCCACTTAAGGGTATAAAAAAATAGATAACAACCTATTTTCAAACCTACTGAATATACATATAAAATTTCATCAAAATCGGTTAAGCCGTTACGGAGAAGTACGTAACAAAAAATTAAAAAAAAAAACCTATTTGAAAGTGAAAATTTAGTGTTAAATGTATTTTTTAATGCCACATCGTAAAAAAACAAAAATTAAATATTTTATCCAAAAAATAAAAAAAATTGGGGTGGGCCCCCCTTGCCACTTAAGGGTATAAAAAAATAGATAACAACCTATTTTCAAACCTACTGAATATACATATAAAATTTCATCAAAATCGGTCAAGCCGTTACGGAGAAGTACGTAACAAAAAATTAAAAAAAAAAACTATTTGAAAGTGAAAATTTAGTGTTGTATGTATTTTTTAATGCCACATCGTAAAAAAAACAAATATTAAAAATTTTGTCCAAAAAAATTTAAAAAAATGGGGTGGGCCCCCTTTGTCACTTAGGGTATAAAAAATAGATAACAACCTATTCTCAGACCTACTGAATATACATATAAAATTTCATCAAAATCGGTTAAGGCGTTATGGAGGAGTACGGTATCTAAAACTGTGACAAGACAATTTTTTATATGTATTAGATTTCAGAAATCTGCCTAAACCTTAGCCCGATCCTGTCGCGTTAAGCCACACCCATAATTCCAAACGCACGTGCTTTCAGCGAAAAAATATAATTTTTAAATTCCTTAGATTAGGGCTTGCAGAGCTTCAGCATTTGCCATAAAATAGCGAGCAATTTGTTACAAAACCATATAAATTATATATCACTGTAATCACAAAACTTCAATCTATATCCCTCCTGTAACAGAATTTTAAATTATATTTTTATTTTCGAGAAAATTTAGTCCAAACATAAGGTTTATTTTGTTGATGTTTGACCATCAAAATCTTAAAAATGAACAAGTTATCTAAAAATGTGCCACACGACGGATTTAGTATAATCCTTTATCTTTAATTTTCTTCTTCGTTTGTGTAAAAATACCTAGCCAGTTTGACATAAAACGTTAAATGCCGAACGCTTATTTTGCTACTTTTTCGGACTAGTGAAATGGACTCTTAATCACAAAAATGGTAGAAATTGCTTTAAAAAATTATTTTTAAAAATATATAATAAGTTTATTTTTTATTAACACAAAAATAACTCACCCTGTATACTGTATAGCATAACTGTTAGCTCTATTGTCACGTGTAACAATGTTTTTAGGTCAAATAAGTAAAATATATAACTTTTCACTTAAAGATTTTTTCTTATCTAATTAAGGCCATGTCTTCGTAAAAATTGACCAGTGTGCGACGGTCGCAGTCACCGTTGGGCCGGGCCGGAGTCGATTCAATGCGCGGAGTTACATTTATTTCTATTAGTGGAGTAAAATCACTGAGAAAAGTCGCTTTCTTCTCGAAAAAAAAAATTAAGTTATAACCACATAAACTTTGTGCATGTGAAATGACTAATTACGACCTTTTTGGAGGGGTCAGACATTTTTTATCCCGGAATATGTCAAAAATCTGTCAAAAATGTATAACCATGTTTTTTACCTTTCCTAAGCGACAACTCCTAAACTAATCAACTTATTCACATACTCTTTTTTTTTTAATCGATTGGGAACACATAGGCGGTGATAACTGAAGTAATTAAAGTTCCATAGTAAGGGTATTTTTTTTTGGAAAATGGATTAAACTTCAAACATTAACTTTATTGTATCATGGTTTTCGGTAAGCGAGAAACTTTTTTATTTGAAGGAATTTTTACATAGTATCTGTGTACGAAATAAAGAAAAAATATTGAAAAAGTTTTTAAAACTTGTTACAACCTTCTATTACTAATAGTTTTATAGTTATCCTAAATATCCTAAATCAAGCTTGTTGCAAAAAAAATGTTGTTTACAAAAATAGTAAACAACCAAACCTTCTATTACTAATAGTTTTATAGTTATTCTGTTTTAAAGTTATCAGTACCCGTGCGCGCGCTGTAGTTAGAGACGCTGTGCTATACCGCCCGGCCTGCATCACGTTGTACGGCGTGCTAGATGTGGCATTAATTTATGTTTTAGAGTAAATGTAGAAAATTATTTTAGTAAGTAAAAGAAGTAAGATTTATGATTACTTTAAAGAAATTAATTCTTTAAAGTAATTATTTAATATCTGACCAGCACATATCTGTAGGTGTCGATTTAATATAACATATTTTTGTAATATTTTTTATGAAAATATGATTACATTATTTTTATTACATAATAAGGACATATCTTGAAGTTTGCATAGGATTGAAACTCTTTTAGTAAACTACGAATTTCTTTTTTTATATATATATATATATATATATATATATATATATATATATATATATATATATATATATATATATATATATATATATATATATATATATATATATATATATATATATATATATATGTAGGTCTTATCATCTGTGTTTTCTGCTTTTGCTCTTTATACCACTTACATAAAGATTACAAAAGCCTAAAAAGAGCATCGGCAACTAAAGTTAGTCCTCGACTAGCCCTGGTATATTATTTTTTATCCTACATCATTTTACAAGTATTTTCGACGTAATTATCTATTTCCGTAAAAATGGAAAAAAGGCCTCCATCTCCAAGAATATACTCAATACTGACAAAAAACGCCAGATTAAGATGCATTCCGCCTAGCATAAATGTTAATTTCCCATGTAATAATTTAGGATTATTCTGTAATATTTCGCGAGCTTTTGTATAAATGACCAAGTGTGCTGTTATATAAATATTTTGTTTTAAAGTTTGAGCTAATAAATCTACTAATCTCACCATCGAAGTATATATGGTATCACATTCGGTAGGTGAATTGTTTATAAATGGCAAGTATAATATTTTAGAAACAAAAATTTCGTTGTCAACAAAGTGTTGTTAAAATCAGTCCGGTTTAAAAAAGTTACTTTACTTGCCATGCTAGATTACTTACCAATTTGCCATGCTGGATTCTTTTTTAGATTTTTCTCTTCTTCGAATCTTTTTTTCAGATACTTTTCTATCCAACGTTATAGATTTTAATGAAGGATGTTAGGCTAAATAATATTTATTTGATCTCTAACTATAACAAAGTATTGTTACAAAGCCTAATAAGCATGGGACATTGTTAAAATTGAATTAACTTAAGTCTAAAAACCAATAATACTTACATTATATGACTACATTTGAATAAAAATATATGCATAGGTATGTATATCGCATTTAATATTAAATAAATATTTACTAAAAATAAATTTTCAATTAAAATGCGTAAAACTTTACTAAAAGTAATTTTAACATAGAATTAGAAATTAAAGTACCTACATGTGAAATATGCTATAAATGCTATCTATAACACAAAAACTATAATTATTTAAAAAAAGCACCCAAGAAAACAGTACAACATTTTTTTCACAAACAATAAAAGCGGGAAGAGAAATTATAAAAAATGCTTATCTATGTCAGTGAAAAATTCATCCAATGGATAGTATGCTTTCTTAATTAAAAATGTTGTTAATTTAGCCTTGATTTGTTTGGGATTATTTATATAAACAAACGTTATATTTTATCATTATTATTATTAGCATCATATGCAAATAAATCGTCATATCCAGAAAGCTTTCCGTACAAAATAAAGTATATAAAGTCGGATTCTGACGACTCGTGTACTTGGCAAGTACGCCAATATTTGCGTACTTGGCAAGTATACTATTTTTGTAAACAACATTTTTTTGCAACACGCTTGATGCTCACGCTACGCGGCTATTTAGGATAACTATAAAACTATTAGTAATAGAAGGTTGTAACAAGTTTTAAAAACTTTTTCAATATTTTTTCTTTATTTCATACGCAGATATTATGTAAAAATTCCTTCAAATAAAAAAGTTTCTTGCTTACCGAAAACCATGATACAATAAAGTTAATGTTTGAAGTATAATCCATTTTCCAAAAAAAAAAATACACTCATTATGGAACTTTAATTACCTAAGCTATCAGCGCCTATATGTTCCCAATCGATTAAAAAAAAGAGTATGTGAATAAGTTGATTAGTTTAGGAGTTATCGCGTAGGAAAGGTAAAAAAACATGGTTATACATTTATGACAGATTTTTGACATATTCCGGGATAAAAAATGTCTGACCCCTCCAAAAAGGTCGTAATTAGTCATTTCACATGCACAAAGCCCTAAATGATAATCCTGTATAGATAGCATGTAGTTATACCTCCAAAAAATATTTTGACAGATTGTTATATCGTTTTTACTCGACTATATGTAAAGTGATAGCTCTATATGTAAAGTGACTGCCGATAGCTCTTTACTGTGTGGACCGGCTGGAGTCGATTCACTGCGCGTTCACCTTTACAGTAAGGTGTGTAAGGTATTATATATTTAGTTTTTAAATAATTAAAACAAGTTATATTTATAAAAAAAAACTAATACTGTTACGATAAATATTTATTGGTATTTATGCCTAAATTAATTTAGTGGACCATAATGTAGATACCATATTATCGAAAAAAAAAACGGCGTCAAAGACGGCTGGGGAATCACAATCGATAATAATTTTGGCGAGGTTAAGCCAAAAGACCTAGGCGTCAATTACTTGGACCGTACATTTTATTTTTTTTAATGGCGCTTACTGCTAGTTGGCGTTAAGGTTGTAATTGATTTTTATATTGAGTAAAAATGATTTTTAAATGGTGTAGTTTAAAATTCGAGAAAAACTTATTTTTTGGAAATAGATTTGTGTGTGGAAACGGTTTATCCTTTTTTAATCTTGCTATTAAAAAAGTGTCAATTTTTGACAAGTTTTAGGTCAATTTTTAGTAAATGACGTTTAAAGATTGACCCCGCCAAAATTATTATCGATTGTCATTTCCCAGGCGGCGTTTTGTTTCGATCATACAGTGTTAGGTATAATTTTACTTTATTGTTCAAATTTCCTTTGTAACAATGAGTGAGAAATATTATAGATATTTAGCCTTTCCAGCTGAAAACCGATCGTCCAACAATTGAGCCTTTTTTAAAACTGCTTTCTTTTGGGCTTCGTCGAATCGATTCACTTGCAAATCGGTTTCCCTGTTGAATGGTTTTCGCTCGCTCGGACCTGCTGCCTGTAAAATGTAGGTAATTATAAAATTAAACCGCGCTACACTACTACGCTCGTTTATAGGCTTGGTACATTTCAGAATTCCGACAGCATTCGGTACGGTACCGTAAGTACGTAGCGTAAAGGTACGGTATTTAGGTTAGACCTGCTAGTCTTCTTTTTCTTCTCTATGTGAAACGAGGAATGACAAATGACGTCTTATAAAGGTTGATTCTCACTATACCTTCCGTTTCCATTCCATATTCGTTCCGTATTTTTATTGTATTAACGCTATATGTAAGCTTCCGTTCCGTATCAGTTCCATACTTTTTATTGTACAATTTATATCACGAAAGTTTTATTTTAATAATTTGTATCATTTGAAAAAAGTAGGTATAATAGATTTAATTAAGAGGTGAAAGGATGAATAAATATCAGCAAAATTTTAACAGAGCTGGTACAAATGTAAGGTCACAACGCTGTTTCCGATACGCTTCAGTCCGTCCGCAAATGTATGGGAAGAAAGGATTGGAACAAAAGGGAAACCGAACGGATAGTGTGCATTGTCCTATTCATTTACATGATATAATAGTTTATGTAAACGGAAGGGAAATGGAAGGGAGCTGATATGGAAGGTATAGTGAGAATCAACCCCCCCCCCCCTTAAGACGGTTCTAAAACCGTTCCAACCTGATGTCATATACTGTCCTCCATTCACGCAGTTGTACAGTTCCCCGAATTCTATAACTTTGACATAAAAACGTTACGCTTTCCAAGCTGTGAGCGAAAGTATGCGATTAGCGGAACGCCAAGCAGTCGATTTTGGTATTCTCGTTACCGTGCGAATCGTTTTCTGGATGCGCGTTGAGCACATATTGACAGCATCGCAATTTCGCAGGTATCTAATAGTCAAATGTGAATAAAACAATGAAAAATGTCAACGTTATGCGAATTTCATAACCTATTGTTGAGTTATGTTAACCTATTTTTCTATGGATATGTCATTATTCTTATTATACGAGGGAAATCTTGAAAACGCTTCTCAGCATTTTCGATGTTAGCTGCCAAGTCGTAAACTATCAATTACTTATTGAGGAATTTACAGAAGAAGTAGTAATTTTCATTAAAGAGCAAGATAACGCACAAAATCACAATTTTTTCGATTTTCACTGACAAGGCTGTTTAAGGCAACCGTTTTCAAAGCGCTTAGCGCAATCAGTAAAGACGCCAAACGCGTCAGATGAGAATACCCAAATCGGCAGTTAAGTGCATGCTCAGTGAAAATTATCGTCATAGAAGCCCAGGCCCCGAATTCTGTAACTTAGAAAACGCTAAGCGCTTTCAGACACTCAGCGTATATGACGTTAATTTTTGTTTAGCGCGCACTTAACTGCCGATTTGGGTATTCTCATCTGACGCGCTTAGCGTCTTTACTGATTGCGTTAAGCGATTCGAAAACTAAAGTCGAAAACGGCTAACCTAAAGGATCGTTTTGCCTGTCGAACTGTCAATAAAAGTAGAAAAAATTGTGATTTTGTGCTTTCTTACTCTTTAGCGAAAACTACTTCTTCTTCTATAAATTCCTCAATAAGTAATTGATACTTTACGACTTGGCAGCTATAAACATCGTTCAAAACATCGAAAATGCTGAGAAACATCTTCATCATTTCCCTCGTATAATAAGAATAATGACACATCCATAGAAAAATAGGTTGACATAACTCAACAATAGGTTATGAAATTCAGGTAACATTGACATTTTTCATTGTTTCATCCACATATGACTGTTAGATACCTGAGAAATTGCGATGCTGTCAATATGTGCTCAACGCGTATCCAGAACACGATTCGCACGGCAACGAGAATACCAAAATCGACTACTTGGCGTTCCGCTAATCAAATACTTTCGCTTACCGCTTTGAAAGCGTAACGTTTTTATGTCAAAGTTCCAGAATTTGCGCGTTGAGCACATATTGGCAACATCGCAATTTCTAATGTAGGTAATAGTCAAAAGTTGATAACTGACGGATGTAACAATGAAAAATGTCAATCTTACGTGAATTTCATAACTTATTGTTGAGTTATGTCAAGCTATTTTTCTATGGATATGTCATTATTCTTATTATACGAGGGAAGTGCTGAAGACGCTTCTCAGCATTTTCGATGTTTTGAACAATATTTATAGCTGCCAAGTCGTAAATTATCAATTACTTATTGAAGAATTTATAGAAGTAGTAATTTTCACTAAAGAGCAAGATAACGCACAAAATCACAATTTTTTCGATTTTCACCGACTGTTGAAGAACGCGATACTCTCCTCCATTCAATTCAGTCATAAAGTTCAGAATTATTCCGCGCCGAGATCCCCTTTCCCCTCGAGCACCTTTCTATCGTCCTGCTCGGAGGCACCAGTCTATCGTGCACAGCTCCTTTCAGAACCGTTCTCGAGTAGCCCAGGGCTTAAAGCTCTGGAACTTGAAATTGGCGAATGGAGGACAGCAATTGATAAATGAAATAAGTTTAGATTGGAAAGTGCCCATAAGGACAATGTAAATGTAAACACTATTTGGCGCTATTCTTGCAACGGTCGCGACCCAAAGCTTTTGAAAATTACGGAGCGGTTCGGCCTTTTCCGGAATTATATCGCCAAAGAAGCCTGAAGAAATATTTTCTTCAAATTTATTATTATTTTCTTTTAATTTCATAAATAAAATACAAGAAACTTTATTTTATAAGGACATGAATGAAATACCTATGAAACATTGGAAACCGGCGTTATGCCACGATCCACGATGGTTTTTGGAGTTCACAGTTCACAACACAACTTTTTAAGTTTTTAATGCCACTTTTTCACAATTATCACGGGTTTGAGTAAATAAAACTTAAAATAAACTCACAAGATAGCAATAATTACTTTGAAAATGGACGTTTTAAACACTTTTCTTTTTTTATAGCAGCGCCGGATCGCGTACAACGGTCGTGACCCAAAATTTTGACGGGCATTCCAATCTAAATTTATTTCCTTTATCTATGCCTATGCCTGATGTTTGTGTGCCGAAATAGGACCGTACGAAGACAACGCCTGGGACTGCAATCAATTCTAGGGGTTCCGAAACCGTTTCGTGACAGTACGAAAACGTGGAGTTGGAACGAAACTATTATAACAAATTGTTCGTGTATTCGCTTTTTAAACCCGTGTATTTGTTTAGTCGGCTGTTTACGGTATTCTCCGATGGTCGCAACACCGGTAGAGAATGCGCCAAGCCTATAACTGATAATATGTACGCTTCTTTAATGTTAGCATTACTCAGCATATGATTAAAACGTGCGTAAAACTATGACGTAACGTAAATAGTAAATATCCAACATAAAATGTACCGTATGATCGAAAAAAAAACTGCGTCAAGTTGGCTTCAAAATGACGATCGATGACATTCCCCATATAATTTTACATTTAAAATGACAGCAATGTTCATTTCATAGCCATTTAATTTAAAAATTTGTTAATACTGATTTATTATTACCTGCGTCAAGTTGGCTTCAAAATGACGATCGATGACATTCCCCATATAATTTTACATATAAAATGACAGCAATGTTCATTTCATAGCAATTTAATTTAAAAATTTGTTAATACTGATTTATTATTACCTGTTTTTGCTGGTCCAATTTTTCTTTATGTATATCGACTAGGCTTTTTTCTTTCTTCTTGTGTTTCTTTGCCATTAGATCTTGTTCGTTATCTCGCTTTTGAATTTCTCTAGAAATAGCTTCAGCTTTGAGATCAACTTTTTTCTCTTTTTTATTTTTATGGCCGGCTACATCAGTCCAAGAAGATCTGAAAAATGTCGTTTATTAGCTTCAAACTGTTTGATATTAGGTTATTTCAACCCTGGTTTATATAGGGTGATTCACGGCAATGGTACCTTAGACGTTTATGAGAGAGAGCCGGTGATAAGCCCTCTGTTCTCAGATCTTCGTATTGTCGAGCGACACATCAAAAGAACCAATGAGATTTGCACATAATTCAAAATTGGCAGCTGTTTGAATTTTGTTAAAATCTGATTGGTTCTTTTGACGTGTCGTGGACGTGTCGCTGGCGACAGTCGATCTAACGCTTCGTCCTCCATGGGCGACACGGGCGACGCGACGTTATCAAAAACGTTACACGTGTCGTTCGAATCGCCCGAATCGCGCGCTTTTGTCGCCCACGTAGGAAGAAGCGTCAAATTGTCAGCGTTATAGTGTTGCCGGATCATTTGCAAAATGTAATTATAATTGTATTTTAATGTATTATAATGTTGGTAAAAAATGTAAAAAAGAACGGTAACAACCGTTACTTTGATTTGCCATCGGTATCCTTTTTTAATGTTGTAGATTAATTTTTTACTTTAATTTATTTGGTAGTATAACAGTGCTACTGGTGACCCTAGTCTAAGCTAATGACCACCAGTTTTATTTTTAACTTTAAAATCTATGTTGCAACACACGGCGTGGATTAGTTGAAAGCAAGCAGGCTGCTACCCAATTGATACCGGCGGTATTCGAAATTTATTTTTCAAGTTAAATAACTTCAAAGTTAAAAAGCCATTTTATTTTTTTAATTAGAAAATGCAAAAATATATCTTTTTTCAACATTTACCACCTCTTAAAAAACTTATATATTATAAAAAAGAGATAACTTGTATTGTGTGATGATCTAAATGTTTTCCACCCAGAAATCGGTAAAATAAAGACAAAAGTACTTTTAAATAAATTATACATACCTATCAGATAAGTCAGGCCCCGCTTTACTTCTGAATTGTCTTGCACCCAAACCAAGATGAGCAGCTTTTGCCTCAGGTAATTCTAACATCCACGTTTCTCGTACGGGTTCCTTCGTTGCTCTCGGATCAAGTTGATCTATTTTCATTTGTAATGCACGCTCTTCTAAAGCTTTATGAACCTTAGAATGAATTTTTATACCACTAGGTAGAGGACCATAAGTATCTTCATCTTCACTACTTGAAGCAACGTCTTCCGTTTTCCCTTCTCTTAAATGTGGTGGTAAACTGGGTCCTATATTTTTGTTCGTGGTAGTTTCAGACGATAAATTAATTGTTGGGGGTAGTTCAGGTCCTATAACGTCATTTTTCTTTTTATCTAATAAATGGGGTGGTAATTTTGGTCCAACAAATGACTCTTCTGGCGAATCTGAAGATGGAGCTATTTTTCTGTCGGTAGTAGTTTCAGATGTCGTGCTAAATGTCGAGGGTAGTGCAGGTCCTATAACCATATCGTTTTTCTTTCTCTCTAATAAATGGGGTGGCAATTTCGGTCCAACAACTGATTCTTTTGGCGGATCAAGTCTATCTGTCCTAAAAGTTGAATCTATTTTTCTGTCGGTGTTAGATTCAGATAGTGTTGAGGGTAATTCTGGTCCTACAACCATGTCGTTTTTCTTCTTTTCTAATAAATGGGGTGGTAATTTTGGTCCTACAAATGATTCTTCTGGCGGATCTGTGTTGAAAGTCTCATCTGGATTTGGTTTTCTAAGTAGATGGTCAGGTAGAACTGGACCAATGGCCATTTCTTTTCGTGATGAAATAGTTTTATGATTAACATTAAGTCTCAAAGCTGCATCACAATCGGGGTTGTTTTTAATTTTTTTATGCATATTTTCATTTTCATCGTCTTCAGATAAATATCTGCTGGCTTTGTCTTTCCGTTTATTAGATTTTAATTCATAGCTATCAATATTGATATTTAAATTACTTCTCACATTTTCTGTTTTATATCTAACTCCATCCTCTGAATCTCTAGAATCACTATCCGACATAATGCGGATGCTACAATTAATAATAATGATAGATAAACTTATGATAAATTCGAGGATAAATTATTATAACTTTATTAAAATACGCCTATTGTCAATCATTCTATTCCTCTCTGCTCCCTTTTTAATGATATAATTAGTAATTATATTGATTAATTACTCATTTTTCAATATTTCATAAGAATTCTAGTTCTCAAATGGAAGTTTGTTTTCAGCAAATACTGCTAAATAGCAGTGCTGATGTTTAAAGTTACAGGGAATATAACCAGGTCGAAAGAAAGCAGGTAATGTACTCCACCTGATGTTCTGGGATTATAGTCAATAAGAATAAAATATTTTCTTAAATAACAAACCATTAGATCAGAACTTCATCAATTTTTCTGTATCTCCATACTAAATATAAAGTTACCTCACGTGACAAGGGACTATAACAAATATTAATTTCATATTAGAGTGAAAATTGTACCGATTTATAAGAGTTTTGCCAAATATCTCTAGAATATGGAACATTTTACAGTTTTTTTGCAGTAAAATTTTACCTGATGTATGAGATTGAGAGGAAAGGATTTCTACTTATAGGGAGCAATTGAGAGCGTGAGTGAATAACAGAAACCTAGTGGTAAGTGTGTATTATTACTGGCCAGTGCTACCCCCAATTTGATGCTCCTCCCCGGAAATAGAAATATTGACTAGTAAGTATTAACAAATCTAGTGGTGGTGTTATTGTATTGTGTAAAGTACGTCTACTGGATCTTTGTATATGAAAGGAATGCGGACAAAAAACATTTAAATAAACAGCAATATATTTTATAAATCCCTACCTATACCTAATCGTAAATAGAAGCGGCAGAGTCCACGTGAACTTGACGAGTATGTCACCGCAAAACACTCCGCCCACTCATTTCATTGGCTACTTGCAAATTTGTCGAATTTTTATTGATGGAACGCGTCGTCTAATTTTTTACGAGAAACATCGAGAGAATATCGTTTCCTCTCTTACGGATGCCCCGTAGCTACAGAACGGATAGACGTACTGTATACCTTTAACTTTGTTTAGGCATGTTATAATTATACACGCTTTCCAACTAATATTACTATGTGTAGAAAATCACTAAACAAAATGTATATATATTTAAAATCAAACAATATTATAGTTAACTGGAAAATATTTTTAAAATTCCTGATATATTTTCATAAAACACCGAATGCGACCTATGGCCTATGGTCATTGTTCCACTTAACCAACCATAATCCCATACGTAGAACAATTACGATTATAAATCCGCGCTCTTTTGTATTGATGTTTTGATATTTTTTTGGAAGTCTTTACTGGCACACACCTTTGAAACGCTCCAATTTCAACTTTATAGCATTTTTTAATGGATTTATAATATTCTAAAAATAACTTGTACATATGCATGTCTTATATTGTTTATATTTACAGTTCATTATAATACACATGTTTACTAAAATATACAATAAATAATTACATACAGTTTTAATATAAACTAAATGAGTTAGCAAAATGCAAATACATCTTACATTTGATGAACACATTCTGAAAATTGATTGTATCTATTTGTCTTTTTCTTTTCTGTTGTCATTTTTTTAGTTTAACATTTTTTTCACTTTCCTACTACTGTATTTTATGCTCTTGAATAAACCAGCGGTTAATATTCCTTTTATACTTTGTCTTACTGATGATTTCCAAACAATTTCATTAATACGTTGGCTAACTATTGTTCCACAGTCAGGATCATATGCTATAGCTCGTAAAACATCTTCGGTATCTTGACGAAAATTTCCTTTATTCCAATACCTGGTTAGCGCTTTTTGTGGCCACCTGGGCAATTGATTTAGATGGTGTAGTTTTGCCAAAGGACTTACGTCTTGTGCACAATTAAAATCCGATATACAATTTTCAACTAGATTTGAAGTATTTTCTAAATTATTCTGTTGGTTTATATTTACATCTTTTATCATAGGAAAATCAACATAGTCTTGTAAATTTGTTAGAAAAGGTTTATATAAATTTCTAAACCCCAGCATTTGTGCTTTGACTATATTTTCTACTTTATTCTTTTGTTCCCCAAAAACCATTCGAAAATCACCCAAGTAACTCAAATTAGATATTGTATGGTAAAATTCATATTCGGTGAATGTATCTGGAAGTATTAGTAATGCTGCATGTACAGCAGATTGTAAATTTAATTGCAATGCTGTTTCTAATTCTGTGTCGAGAGGTTTTTTTACAATTTCTACAGGTTTGTGAAGCCTTCCCGCTAAATATAAATAGGACCACTCTAGTAAGTCTGTAACTAAATCACTATTTGCCACGACACCGTATTTTATCCAATACTCGTCCATAGGCACTAATGTATTGAAGTAAACTTTTGCTCCAAAATTTCTTTGATATTGAGAAATAAACTCATGTCCTAAGTATTTTATACCACTGTAATGCGAAGGATTTAAATTCATATTGGCTTCATGCCAAGTTACCGGGTCTTTTACAGCAAATATTAAATCAATCATATTTTGTTTATCACCATTTAGAAGTTGTTTTTTTACACCAGACCCATAGGCAAAACAGAAAGTAAAATTTTGTGGGAACTTTGCCATTATTCTTTTATATATGGGAGGTACAATTACTAATTTAGTAGGAATCATATTAATAAACTACTAATACTACAAAAAAAAAATATAAAATTGCCTTAATTTACTTACGAAAATATAGGTTAAGCAGTTGTTTACATCTGTTCACTGTCCACCACAGATAAGATAAAAGTTACAAGTATGTCAAAAACAAAAAAAAATAGTAGATATGATATACGGTAAAATAATATATGATCCTCATTTTTGTTATGATGAGAGACGTTAGTCTTGTTTAGTTTTACGGCTTCAGCTGCCAGAACTATCCTACCGCCTATATATAAGATGGCCTAACAGGCTTTAGGGCAAGTTTGTTGCTTTTTGTAGCATACTGGCCGCTTTGACTGGCCGTGATACTGGCATATAGCGCTCAGTAGAGACCATAGACCATAAAATAAAGATTTTGACAACAGTTGATAACCATTTGATAACTCATGATAACTTTGATAACTAATTAACTTTAACCTATTCAAGACCTATTTTACTATTATGCAAAGATAAACACATGAAAATTGAAATCATATAATCCAAATTTTTAATTTTACTCATTCTCGTTTATTCGTTACTATAAAAATGTGTAGTTTACCATTGGTATTTAGAAATATTAATACTAAAAAGTTAACTCATAATTACATTTATCGGTCTTTGGTGTATTCGTCAATTCATTATGGTGAGCTTTTGTAAAATAGCAGCTGATTAGAAAAAAAAAACGACATTATATACAATAGTTAAAGGAATTTGAAAAATTTTAGATGGTAAAAGTGATCCTGGACCCTTATTTTTTAATGAGGAGGTTCAGTCTCTACTCAAATTATTAACACGTATAGATTATAACAAAGTATTTAGGAAGAGGAAATTGGGAACTAAACTTCTTACTAAGCCTGATTATCAGTTTATGACTGATGAACAGTTGAAAGAATCAATAAATCGGGCAAGAAAAAAGGCTGACGTGTTACTACAAATACCACCAGTTGTGAAAGTTAAGGAAATAAACCCCACAATTCTTTCGAAAGATTCTGCTTTAAAAGGTACAGTTTTAAAAATACAATATGCTAAAAAGAACAGTAACTAGTGTTCTAAAATATCTTTTAGTAGTTTTTTTTTAATTAAAATAGTAATTTATAATAATAAAATAACAGGATATCTAGTTGATGTAAAGAATGATATTTTAATAAACATTATTATTATAAACTTAATTATACATACAATCATAATTATCATACATTAGTAATATACTAATTTTTATTTTTCTCACTTTAGGATTGCTTACTTCTAAAATTGTTTTTACTGACATAACATTTGGTGTTCAAAATGCAGATCGAATAATTGTTGTACGTGAAACCGATGGCACGTTACAAGAGGCTGATTGGCAATTAAGAAAAAGAATAAATCAAACATATTTTCCTGAAAATGGAAGACTTTTAAAACCTCCAACTATGTTTCAAGATACATACCTTGAAAATTTATTAGATCGTGAAGAACACGAATTTGTTCTTGACAGAGCTTGTATACAATTTGATCCAGATGAGCCAGAATACCAGAGAATAAGTTCAATAACCTATCAACATATTAATGAAAAAAATCTGTTCCACCTGCTTAGGTCGACACGACATTTTGGATCTTTAGTTTTCTTTTTAGTGTGGAACAAGAATATTGATAATTTGTTGTTAGACCTTATAGAAACGTCAAATGTAAATGAAGCCGCACAATTAATTGCTTTATATTCAAAAATTCACAATACTGAGTTTGATGGTGATACTGTTCTAGAGAAAGTTGAATCCTTTACAAAATCTGCCTCAAATAAAAAAGGTGCTTTAGAGTTGGCGATACAAGCTTACAAAGAAGTAGCAAAGAGCAAAGAACAATTAGAAAAAGGTGTAAATGCAGCACATGGAATTACAGAATGCTGATTAAGTAAGTGCTCATACTTGTACTTTTAAATGTTAATACAATTTTTAAGGCAAATAAATATAAAGCATACTAATCAAATATTAAAATCAATTGACTTAATATTGATGTCAACATACTGAATGCTACATGTCAACTTATTCTGAATTCTATAGTTCTAATAAAGCTTTTGATTTTTGTTTAAAATTGCTTTTATTCTTAATTTTTATTAAGGTGGACAATAAAACATATTTTTAATTTGATGAAAAAAGGGGTATGTAAAATCCGTCCAACAAGAACAATAGTAGTTTTTTTGGCAATTTTTGGAGGTTGTGTATCAAAATCTCTTGTCTTGATGGTCAGACACTTGGGTCAGACTTAAGCCGGAGTCTCATGCATCCGAAATCCGATGGTACGACATCCGAAATTTGAAGTTATCGTGTGAAATAAAAAAAGCCTGTCACATACATCCAAAAGTTCGTTCCGAAATTTGACAGTTTTGACATTTAGACTTGTCATTCCTATGTATTATTATTATGTATTATTCCATGTATTATTGGAGAAACACTTATAAAAATAACTTTCTCGCCAAATATCCCGAAATTGCCCACTTCCCACTAAACTTGATTTTAAAAACCAATGTTTTCAAAAAACGTGAGGTTAAAAAACACGATATCATACAAAAGTTAAACAAAATTTAACTTTATACGACATCGGACATTAGTTAAAAATATCGGATAAAAATTGGTGTCAAAATATTTCGACCAATAGGAGCTCCGTCGGATCGTCGTGTCATCGGATTTCGGATGCATGGGACTCCGGCTTTAATGTCATCCATAACTTGGCAATACCCTGAGAGGGTTTTATTATAGCTTACTTTTTATTACGGGTGATCAGTGGCGGTCATGCTTTTAACATTTTAAAATATAAAGTATTTTCAGTTATAGACTGATTAATAGACTGACAAATAGTGTTCTTTAAATATATAGTGAATAAAAAATAAAGTATTTTTTGTAAAAATTTATTAATTAGTGAGTTTACACATTGATATTCTCTGATAAAATTAATGTGCGCGTTCAGGGAAGGCAGCGGCTAAGTGGCTGAGTAAGCAAGTTCTCTAAATGGTCTATTTTTACACACAAAAACAGTCAGCCGCTCAGCAAAACCGTAGACCGTTCCTGAACGCGCAGAAAAAGTTCACACTTTTAAATTATCCATTACAATACACTGCGATTTATGATACCAGGCGCTGATGTGTATTCTGTACTTTTTCCGGTTAAAGCAATAATTTGTTCAGAAACTTCAACTGCCACGCGAATTTGTGCTTCAGCTGTACTAGCACCCAAATGCGGTGTTGCCACGACTTTATCGTGTGCTATTACTTCAAGAGTAATAGCATTCGTAGGGGGTTCCTGCTCAAAAACATCTATTCCAGCTCCGCCACATTGTCCTGACTTCAAAGCTGCGAGCAAATCTGCCTCGTTGACTATTCCGCCTCTTGCTACGTTTATGATTCGGACACCTTTCTTACATGCATTTAATACTTTTCCATTTATTAAATCTAAAAATAATGAAATATATTTCAGTTAAAAAAATAATGAAAATCGTATTTGTTTTGAAGTACTATCCGTGCGTTGTGTGATACGTATAGAGTGTCCCATTTTAGTTGAAATTATATGGTATCTCCGTTATTAGTGAAGATAGAAGGGAGGAACATCATTCGTTTTGGGACTTTGGAAGCTATTAAAATCGGAATAAAAAATTTCTATTAATCTTCTAACAAACAAGATCCTATATCGCAATCGCAGGTTACAGTCGTTGTGATTTAAAAATCGCAATTGCAGTTTCAATTGCGATTGGAGAATCGCAGTTTTGCTCATCTCTAATGTAAACCGCTGTCAGTTTAACGTGGTATTGACCGGAGTGGAATTCTGATATTTCAGAGCCAAAAAAGTTTTATTAAAACGTGATTCTCCTATAGTGCTCGAAAAAGCGAAAATAAAATCGCGAAACGTCGGTCGCACAAAATATAATTGTCTCGTTCAATGACTAAAGAATATAAGGACATGTAACGCCCCTATACGGGCTGCAGCAGAATTTGTGACCTTTTTTTTGTTTTGGTGGCAAACAATGAGTCATCATTTGGTCACCAGCGACAATTTTAGCGATTTTTAATAGTTTGTGTGTAGTAAACTTTGTATAAACTTTATTATAATGGTGATTAGTTGTTCAGCTTTCAAGTGTAAAAGCAGCAGCAATAAGAAAGAGTCAGGAGTTACGTTTCATAGGTAAATAAACAGTCCACTCCACCTTTTAGCGTTTTCTTATTGAATTCGATAATTATTCTTCAATTTCAGTTAATATCTATAAGTACTTGATATGTGCTATACGTCGATACTAGTTTTGTGCCTTTTGTTAACATTTTAATACGTTTTTTTCGTAATTAATTAGGATGATACACCATAGGCGTAGTCAAAACAATTATCAAAAATATAAATATTGCTTCAAACAGCTAGGTTAAGAAAAATATGTGCCACGGCACTGTTTGATGGCATCGTCACAATTTGCTCTCGGGTGTTATTTGTCCTTGGATTCTTTAGTCATTGGTCTCGTTTGAGTATTTCTAATACCCACGAATTGTCAATAGTAGATAAGCTAAACTTACTCCTTGTAGCATCGATTAGAGGGGTATGTACGGTTATGTAGTCAGCTCGAGCCCATATTGCCTCCAACGGCATAAACTCCACATTAAACTTCTTTGATTCCTCTGCTGTTACAATGGGATCGTATCCAATCGTCTAAAAAATAACATACTTATATACTATATTATTATGCTATCTGTTTAAACCATTGAATAAAAATTATTATAACAAAAATAGTATACAGAAACGTAAAACGGTCTTAACCCCAATAATGTGGTAATTTCTGCATTAAGTTCATCAGCCTGACGGAACCAGCTATCCGACGACCGGTTTCGGGGATTTATCACCATCCTGGTTTGTCAGATCGAAGGATCCAACCATAGAAGGATCCGACAAAGTCGGCCTGATGATGGGGATAAATTTTCGAAACCGGTTGTCGGATAGCTGGTTCCTTCGGTCTAATGAACTTAATGCAGAAATTAGCACAGTTGTAGGCATGAAATAAGAAGATGCGCAACCTTATTGGAGATTTCGTGGCACAAAACCTGTCCGAGATGTAACTGGGGTTACCGTCAGTCTGTCCGAGAATTCCGAGATTTAGTTTAGCTCTGCGCCGCTGCGCGCTGATAGTCGTTTACAGTGCAGCGGATAAAGATTACTGTACCGTAGTTAACGACGCTTGCGACCCGAAAATTGAAATTTTAGCTAAGATCGAACAAACCAGACGTACTTTTGCTTCCATGAAAACCCTCTTCTCCAGCCAAGATCTAAGCCTCGAACTGCGCATACGTATACTGCGTTGCTACATCTTTCCAGTATTTCTCTACGGCTCTGAGAGTTGGACACTCAATCAGACATTGGAAAACCGCATTAACGCTTTTGATATGTACTTGTATCGTTGTATGCTGCGTATATCCTGGATGGATAGAGTGACAAATGAGGAGGTGCTCAGCCGGATGGGCAAAGATAAAGAGCTCCTATCAACAGTGAAGGAAAGGAAGTTATAGTACGTCGGTCCCATCATGAGGGGTGATCGATACGAGGCGCTCAGACTGGTCATCGAAGGCAAAATTGAGGGCAGGAGATCAGTGGGAAGAAGGAAAAACTCCTTGCTTAAGGATCTGCGTCGTTGGTTCGGAAGAACATCAATTGAAATTTTCAGAGGTGCGGTTTCACGCACCATCATAGCCAGTTGGATCGCCAACCTCCGAAGGGAGACGGCGGCCTAAGAAGAAGTACCGTAGTTCTGCTTTCAGCTGACAGAGTGAGTGGTTGCTAGAGACAGTGTTGCCAGAACTACTGAAAAAAAGAATTTTTATTTTTGTTGTTTATTCTATGTTTAACAGGAATAAATGTTCAATACATAAACGCGGATTTTTTTTATCTAAAGATATTTTCGTCAAACGTATTACAGATATTAAGCATTTTAATATGACGACACTGTCTTTGATATGTAGATCCACACCGTCTTAGATATGCCTTCGCTGGCCGAATTTAAGAAAATAAGTGTTTTAAGCGTTGACTGCAGAACGATTGGTATCTCCACCGTACAGCACTTGAGACTAAGGGGAACTCAACTCAGCCTTGTCACGAATTTGCGTTGACATTGAATTAGGTTGCGTATCTTCCCTCAATTCTTTCAATCAACGGTTGTACGATTCGTACGATGTGTGTGACTGCCACTAGATGGCGTGATCATTTAGACCTCGTTAAAGACCTCGTCATTGTAGTAGTACCGTATGATCGAGAAAAAACGGCGTCAACGATGGCTATGAAATGAAGATCGCTGTCATTTTATATGTAAATTTATATGGGAAATGTCATCGATCGTCATTTCCCAGCCAACTGGACGCCGTTTTTTTTTCGATCATACGGTACCTTTGGTACCCAAGTGCCATTTTTGCATTTTTTTTGTCAGATAGAAACATCCGGCCAAGTCGGTCCGATGATGGGGATAAATCCCCGTAACCGGTCGACAGATGGCTGGTTCCTTCGGTCTGATGAACTTAATGCAGAAATTAGCATACTTGTAGGGGTTAAAGCCTGTTTACTTTTCTGTATACTATTTTTGTTTTATATAGAACCCTACTTTGTTTTTAGCTTATATTTTCTTGCTAGGTTACATTACAAGAAATATGTAATGCGTATACGCAAAGTTACGAATAATGTCAAAAATCGGTACCCTGTGCTAAAGAACAAAGCGCCTCACAGTGGGGTATTTGACACAGATAGTTGATCGAAATTTTTTTATGTAGACCTTATATAAATTATTGCTATTTTCAATTAAAGAGGAAATAATATGAACAAAATAAAGGATAATTCGTCGATTCTAAAAAAAGAAAGAAAAATCACTGTTCCAGTGTTTCCACGGTCAATGTCACTAATGCTAGTAGTAATATCGCAACTAATACTACTAATGCTACGACTGATCCGCGAGCAATGCCCATACCACTAATGTCGCTACTAATGCCAAATTGTGCTATACTGCTAATAGCACTAATGCGATCGCTTTGCACACAACAATGCCATCGCGGTTTACACCTCGCATTAGTATATCACTGATTGGCAAATTAGAGGAAACCAAGAATGTTTTTCTCATTTTATCAGCAAAGTCGCAAAAAGTCGCAGTATTTTATTTTACTGTATGAAAGCCCAATGTTTACTAAGTAAAACGTATATAGACAATATGCTGAATTCTTCGAAATGCGCAACTAAATGTTTAAGTATAATAAAAATGTCACAAATTTAATCAAATTTTCTGAACGCCTAACTTTTAGTTGCAAAAAAAATCGTTAGTATAGAGAATATCACAATAAATAATACGTTTTTGTAGAATACATACCTGCAGCTTGCTGAGCCATTTTCAATCAAAACAATAATATAAACATAAAAAGAGCACAAGAACAACAACAATTTATAATTTTAAACATAAAATTTAGCCATTTACCTCTTATCTGTGAGAAGTAACAACTTTGACGTTTCGTTGAAACAAATGAATGCAACTAAACTAAACACACCCATAGCAACGACATTCATGCTAGGGATTATTTAACTTATCATTTATCTTTTTTTGGGAAATCTTAAACACATTTGCTTTTTCGAATTTCGATCACCTTTTTCATGGTAATACCCCACCGTGCGCCTGTGGGGCCCCAAAATAACTTAAACATTTTTAACTGTCTAAACTTACCGTCATTCCCCAGGACTGCATTCGAATGGCAACTTCTCTTCCAATTCTGCCTAAACCAATAATGGCTAAAGTTTTACCATACAGTTCATGACCGGCGTAGATTTTTCTATCCCATCGTCCTGCTTTCAAGGAGGCATTTGCGGTTGATATGTTTCTGGCTAAGTCGGTTATTAAAGCACAAGTCAGTTCACAAGCGCTTATAGAGTTTCCTCCAGGTGTACTGAAATTAATATGAGGAATATATACATATGTGTCAAATTGTTCATTTCTCAAAAATTATTTTTATTTTTTTATGCACAGCGTGAGAACGGTAACCAAAAACGGATTTCAAAAAGAATAAAACATGTCTGGATTTTTTTTAAAATTATATTGGTTTCTTCTTTGTCTTTCTTTTTTAGTTTTTGCATATTTGATTATAAACTTCGTTAACGCGAATCCTTACTAATATAAACGCGAAAGTTTGTTTGGATGTATGGATGTATAGATCTTTGTTACTCTTTCACGCAAAAACTACTGAATGGATTTTAATGAAACTTTACAATAATATAGCTTATACATCAGTATAACACATAGGCTATAAATTACGGGTAGTTCGGTACTTTGTAGTTTGATAGTACGGTACTTCGATAGTTCGTAGTTCGTTACTTCGTTAATTAGGTGGTTCGTTAGTCACAGTACTTCATGTTTTTTTACCTATATTTTTATTTCATTCTAGAAAAATATACATATATATTAATTAATAATTTCACTGTATTGAATTAGTTTACTATAATATAATTTAACGTATACCTTAGCCACAGCAATGCGTAGCCGGGTCTGCTAGTAATTCATACAACAAATTAGGTATCCTATAAGTATACAGATAAAAATCTTGTCCCTAATACGTGGTACGAAAATTGTTTTTTATGACGATGAGCAAACGAGTAAATTTTCTTGTGCGCAAAAATAAACTCCCGTTTAAACAGCGTAATAACTGGGCCGGTCAGGCGCTGTGCACAATTTTAGAGGCCATAAGTGGGCGTGCTTGTGCGCAAACTAGTAACCTAACTAGTGCGCGACTCCAAAAATTGGAACCACGAGAAACAATGCTTTTGACGATAAGTTTATAACCTGTATAATCTGTGGTAACATACCTTAAGAGTCATTACGCTGTACTTTCGGATCGCTCTCAAAGGTCGTGTAAAGCGGGTGTGTGGCCGAAGGAAATATAATTGATTATAAGATGTATGATCGAAAAAAAAACGGCAAGTTGGCTGGGAAATGACGATCGATGACATTTCTCATATAAATTTACATATAAAATGACAGCGATCTTCTCGTCATAGCCATCGTTGACGTCGTTTTTTCTCGATCATACGGTATAATATATTTCAGAAATATGCCTAACGCTTAGCCCGATCCTGTCGTGTTAGGTCACACCCAAAATTCCAAACACACGTGCTGTGATTAAGGTTTGCAGAGCTTCAGCATTTGCCATAAAATAGCGAGCAATTTGTTACAAAACCATATTAATCACTGTATCACTGTAATCACAAAACATCAATCTATTTCCGTATTGTAACAGAATTTTACATTGTCTTTATTTTCGAGAAGATTTAGTCCAAACATAAGGAATATTTTGTCGATGATTGGCCATCCAAATCTTAAAAATAAAGAAGTTGTCTAAAAATGTACTACCATACGGATGTAGTATAATCCTTTATCTTTAATTTCCTTCTTCATTTATGTACAAATACCTAGCCAGTTTTACATAAAACGTTAAATGCCGAACGCTTATTTTGCTACTTAAGACGATTGCAAACTTTTGAAATGTGGATCTATAAGAGACTATAGGAGGGGCGGCTGACACTTGCTTGGGATCATCCTCCACAAGTGGCAACATGGGGAAACAAATTATTTTTATTTGGAATTTTATTGCGTTCTAACAAATCAGCGTTTTGTAAAAATCAATACATATTCTTGTAGGAAATTGAACGGTCTTCAAAAAAGGTCTCATATGAATTTACATTTAATCGAGTTGTTTGAAAGTTATTGAAGGTTAAAGTTCAACTTCAAATCGTATATGATAACTTCCACAATTATTTATATTTTATCTCGAGATATTCGCTCATGAATATAAACTATCATATTTTATCACGAACTAATGGCTCAAAAACATAAAATATCATATTTTATGTTTTTGAGTTATTACCTCGTGATGAAATACAAAAAATTGTGGAAATGACGTGGAAAATGATGATATTTCAAAAATCACTTGGTGTAGAATAATATAGATTATGATATGATGGTGTTATGGAATGGGCTCGATATGACAATTCCACTCAGCGAAAAACATTCCATTTAAAAATACTTATTAGTCATAGAACGACTAGTGTTAAAAAAATAAAACTTTAAAGAAAGGTTAGTTATTAACCATTGTAAACATAATCAATGCAAGAATGCAAGAGTCATTAAATTACATAGATATATCTGCATTCTGTATAGATATGAGTGTATCACTTATTGTTATGGCTAGTCTTTATCTTTGAATATGATATATAACAACAATAAAATCAAGTCCATTTTGGGTATTGGATAATACTAAATTATCTCTATTTAAAATATACTTTATTAGCATTTCTGGTATAATCGTGCATGGTTTTAGTGTTCTGCACGAATATATACAGCATGCTAAAACCCAAATAATAAAGCGGATGCAGGTGACCGTAATTTAAAATTATGCATAGTATTTAGCCTAGCATCAAAGTGTTGGTACGCATTACAATTAGGGTTTCCGGAACGGCGCTGATTTTCGGAACCGGGAATTTCGGTACCGTGCCTCTTAGGAAACGGGACTTCCCGGTTTTTTTCGGTACTTTCAGTACTGACTAATTTTTTTTCACTAGTAGTGCAGTTCATCAATCAGAACGCAAGGGATGGTTTTTGAAAGTAAAATGGCAAAAAATTGATATTTTTAATGAAAATAATATCAAATTATTAAGTCATCATCAGTCATGAGAAAATTAACATGAACACAAGTAAAGAAAAAAGTATAGGTAACTTGAATTTCACATCAAACAACATAAACCAATTTAACTGAATTTGAGACAAATGCCCTAAAATATTGAATTAAAAATGCAAATATCAATGTAAAACCGATCTCAAATGTAAAACCGATAAAAAATTGAGTTTCAGATGAAAATAAAATCAAATTATTAAGTCATGAGAAAGTAGACGTGAATACAAATACACACAAGCGTAAAAAACGAAAACACACCTAGGTAGCTTAAAAATTACATCAAATAACATCAACCGACCTCGAAACCAACTTAGCTAAATTTGAAAAAAAAACTTACATTTTCAATTAAAGATGCCTATAAAAACAAAACAAAAAATATAACTAATACATTTAGCAATTTTATACTAAATAATAAAATAACATATTTAAACTACAATAATAGCTAATAAACATTATAGAAACTTCAGAAGTAAGAAGAGTAAGAGATAGCATTACTACTTATTTAGAAGAGTTTGATTTCGACCGCTAGAAAGTATCAATAGTCTTTCGCATGTAACAAAACATATGTTTTTAACTTTTATTACGGAGTCCCTAAAGTACCGGGAATTAATAATTTCGAGTCCCAGTTCTTTGATGTCTCAAAAGAACCGGGAATTTCTGGGATTTCCTGGTTCTGAACCCTAATTACAATCCAGTATTTGAAATTTAGAACAACGGTTCATTAAGTAATGGTATTTAGGATAAAATTTAGATAAAAATCTAAAGGGTTTTAGGTTTTGAATATTTGGAAATGTCTTTATTTTTGAAAAATATATATTTTTAACTTTTTTGGAAATTAAAAGACAGGGGTTTCTACAATCATGACTTGAGCGCAAAAACGAAACTTGCGGTGTACCGAGCAGTAATAATCCCCTCCACGTTATATCGAGGCGAAATCTGGGTATCGTACCACCCCACAGTGGTTCCCCTTAATTAGCTGCGCGGTCATAACTGTTAGATATCTAGATATAGCTTGACTGCACCTTTTTAACAGAAATTGATAACAAATGCTAAATAAATGTATATAAAAAACTTAATGTAATATGTATTAAACAAATTGGGCCCAGTTCGTGTGATTTGCATTTTAAGTTCTAACTATTCGGAAAAGTATACAGATTATGTTTGCACATAATATGTACATGTTTTTTCATATTGAAGAGGTCAAATTTATTTTAAATGTTGAAAAAATAAAAGAGACAGTTGTTTCATTTTATAAATACAATTTTATTGTCAATTGATATACAGTGTGTCCACGAAATAAGTTGACACCAAGAGGAAAAAAATGAGTTGCTTTTATTTTAAGACAAAAAATCAATATTTAACCCCCCGGTATAAGATCCGGCGGCAATTCGCGGCAGCCAGTGACAATTAATTTATGTGCAATATACTTTAAGCAACAAGTATTCTCATGCCGTTTGAAAGGATTTGAAAGGGAAAGTAGTTAAAAGTCTTAAAGAGTGACAAGCAAAAATGTAAAAATACTATTATTGTTGCCTTCAAATAAATTGCCATAAACTAATATTACTTAGGTTTAATTAAGCGCGAAAAAGAAAAAAACAGTTCTTTTTACCTTCTTTTCGAACATCCATTACAGAAAAGGCAACAGCTTTTATCAATTTTAATAAAATAAGTAATTAATTAGCGTTATCTGAAAACTGTTTATGTCAGCTTGATACCAGTAGCAAAAATGTGACATTTCTAATAAAAAAAAGCGCTACACTAGGCTTACTTGATTTTGTTATTTATTATGTATCGTTTACAGGGGAATATAAGAAAAGTATTAGCAACAGTTTCATGCAAACAATTTGAAATTAATATTTCTAAGTAATGACCTATCTGGAAACCACTGTGCACCCGCACATGGACGTATTAAACAAGTTGCAAATACCTTAGATAACTGTTAAGAATCAAATGGTTCCACCATGTCTTAAGCGTATCTTGAAAAAGCTACTTGCGAGAGCACTGAAGTCATGATTACTAAATTCCGCTTAAGATGGGCTGGTCACGTATGCAAGATGAAAGAAAACCGCCTACTGAAATCTCTTTTTTACGGTGAGCTTGTAGTCGGTAAGAGGAAATTGGGTGGACAACTCAAAAGGTACAAGGATACGAAAATTTAAAGGGGATAAGCACGCAGAATCAGTGGGACGAAGCAGCGCACAATAAAACGCAATGGAGAAGAACTGTAAACTCAGTTAACAACAACAACCAAAAAGGAAAGAGGAAACAAA